CGTGGTCACTGCTGGGGCCACTTTGAACTGTGTCCTTTGGAGGTGGCACCACTAATCCTGGGACCTTCTGCCGGACCCTTAGAATCTTCTTCTTGGGCCGTTTCTTTTTGTTGTATGTCAGCATGGTTGGCGCATGCACCAAGCCACCCTGCTTCATGGTGCTGGAAGCTTCCGCCTCTGTCTCAGCCACACTTAGAACCTTCTGGGCTTTCCTCTTCTTTCCCTCTGGTTCATTGCTTTCGTTCTGGTTGGAGGACATGGCTTTGTCCCCTGAGCTCAAATTTTCAGGCTGGAGACGATTCTTCTTTTTCTTTTTCCTCTTCTGAGTACTGCCTCCACTTTCTTCTTCCTCTACATGTAAAGATTTGTTTCCTTTCTCCTTTCCCAAATGGGTTTGCACTGAAGGCTTATTCCCCTTTTTCTTATTCTGTCCTTGACTGTTGGGTTGCTCATCTTCACCAGCAGAAATGTTCTCATCAAAATCGAACCGGGATAAAGTGCCTTCAGAAAAATCTTGGAACTTTTTGATTAGTTTAGAGAGACATTTCTGGTTGAAGGGAGGGATATTTTTCCTGTTGGTTATTTCCAGCAGTCGATTAGCAACAGCTTTATGGTCAAACTGCAGCAGCGACCCAGGGTCTTCACAGGTGCAACAGCTGTTTTTCTCATCGGCATCAGTGATGCTATCTTTTCTTGAGTGATGTTTGCCTAGGGCTGTCTTCTTTTTGTTTGCTTTTCTTGATGTCACCTCCTTCTCAGAGATTTCTTCTTTAGAAAGCTCAGGGTCACACACTTTGTTTCTCTGCTTTTCCACCATCTTGTTAGGTACAAAAGAAGACTGATCCACAATGACTTCAAAAACATGCCTAGCTATTGCCTGGACCAATGCTTGGTCCTTAGTCTCGGCAACAATTTTTGCAGAATGGGTCAGTAAACTTGATATTTTGATGGGCCAGAAGCTCTTTCCCTCCCACCTTGGTTAGTTCATCCAGGTAAATATCAACAAAGTGGAACTTCACTTCATTTGGAGACTGGATCTCAGGATGCAAAATCTCCTTCATTAAGATGTCTAGCAAAAGCTTGATTTGGCTTTCTTCCCAGGCATTTTGCTTCAGCACTTCAAAGGACTGCCTTAGGACCAGACGGATCAACGTGTAGTACTTGTTCAGATGTAGCTTGTCAATCCCTTTCCATTCTCGATTCATGGTTTGCCAAAAGGTCTGAATGAACAGGTGTTCTCTGAGTTGTTAACAACATGGACGAGCTGGGATATAGTGTTTGCTAGTTCCTCCTGTAGGAGAGGTTCATCTTGTACCCACATGCAGTAAAAGAGTCCTTTCCAAATTTTCAAAAGTTCTTCTTGGCTAAAGCCTCCTGTCTCTCTCTGCGTCTTCACGCTGATGTATTGGCGCAGCTTTTTCACGGCCCGGTCCCGGATCCCCTTTTCATTCGACGCCAGCCGCTGGGCAAACTGGATCTCAGCCAGCTGCATGGCAGGAGCCATCACGCCCGCAAGCAAGATTCTAATGAACATTATCCAAAAACGTTTGGAACAATATGTCAACAGATGTGCAGGCTGGATTTAGAAGAGGTCGTGGTACTAGGGATATTATAGCTAATGTTAGTTAGATGGATCTTAGCAGAAAGCAGAAAATACCAGAAGAATGTCTATTTGTGCTTCATTGACTATGCAAAGGCTTTTGACTGTGTGGATCACAACAAGCTATGGCTGACTCTGAGAAGAATGGGAATCCCAGAACATTTGTGCTAATGCAAAACCTATATCTGGACCAAGTGGCAGTCATCAGAACAGAGCAAGGAGTCACTACATGGTTCATAATTAAGAAGGGGGTCCCTCAGGGATGTATTTTGTCTCCATACTTTTTCAATCTAGACGCTGGGCAGTACAAGGAGGAATGTGCCGTCAGGATTGGTGGAAGAGTCATCAACAACCTGTGTTATGCAGATGACACAACCATGCTTGCTGACACTGAGGAGGACCTGAAGCACTTGCTGCAGAAGGTCAAGGACTGCAGCCTCCTATGTGGATTGAAACTCAATATCAAGAAAAGATTCTCATCAATGGGCCAATTGGCAGCATCAGTATGGATGGTGAAGAAATTGAGATAGTTAACAGTTTTAGTTTACTTGGTTCCACAGTCAACACTCTTGGTAACAGCAGCCAGGAAATCAAGAGACAAATTGCATTGGGAAAGCAGCTGTGAGGGACCTCTCAAGAGTACTGAAGAGCAACGACGTCAGGCTGGAGACTAAGGTGTGCCTGATGCAGGCTATAGTCTTCCCAATTATGTGCTATGCATTGTAGAGTTGGACCGTGAATAGGAATGATAGAAAGAGAATTAATGCCTTTGAGCTGTGGTGCATAGAGTGCTAAGAGAACAAACATATTTGTTATGGAGAGTGTGAAACTGGAATGGTCCTTTTAGTCAAGGATTCTGAAGCTTCATCTGACATACTTTGGGAATGTTGCAAGGAGGTACTGGTCCTTGGAGGGGGACATGTTTGGAAGAGTGGAGGGATAGCACAGGAGAGGAAGACCCTTGAAGAGATGGATCGATTCTGTGATTCAAGTGGTGGGAATGAGTGTGTTTGAGATGACGAGGTTGGCACAGGATAGAATGGCATTTAGTGCTCTTATACATTGGGTCGCTATGAGTCGCAAGTCACTTGATGGCACATAACAATAACAACAAAAACAATAGGTGTGCTCACGAGTAGGGTCCCTACTCAAATTCCAGGTGTCTGTCTCCCACCCAGCAGCTCTCGCTCAGCTGCCCAGCTGCCCTCATCCAGGTGCCCTCTCCCTGCGGCCCGTCCAGTGGGACCCTAGAAAACTCTGTCAAATTCCCACCGATCCCCTCACCTCTCACTGGTCTGTATTGTCCATGAAAGCTCAGTCAAATTCCCACCCGCCCGCTAGCTCCCGTCCACTCCCCTGGGCAGTTGGCTGTGCCCAAGAAAACGAAATTAAATCCTCACTGACCTGCCTGAACGTGGGCAGTGGGCGGTGCCCAAGAGAAATCATCCAAATTCCCACTGGCAGCTCGCTTGTGGGTGCTCTCCTGCGCGGTCAGCTGGAGCAGTTGAAAACTCAGTCAAATTCCAGAAGACCCACTTGCTTCTAGTGGGGCTTAGGAGTATTCAGTCAATTTCCCACAAACCTTTCTCCTCGTGAATGGGTCACAAAGCAGCTCAGCTGGCGACTACCAGCTTCAGCTGGGGCTTGTGGTGCTGCTTGATGTTCCTGTAGCTCCCAAACTCATTATTTTAATGAAAGTTCTGACTCTAATTCCTATTGTCCACGTCCCACGTCAGTCTCTGTGTGCCGTGATTGTCTCTCTAGTGGCCCATTTCTATGTAGCCTGCTGCTCCTTCAGCTCCTCACACTCTTTCTCCACTGCCACCATCTTGGAATCCTAAACCTTTTTTTATAAATTAGTTTTAATCAAAGCTTACACAGATGTTGGATTTATAGTCATTGTTGCACACTTTCCTCCCTGCCCACCTGTCCCTCTAGTTCACTTTTCTTTTTGAAAAGTAAAAAGAAATTCTTTCATTGTTATACAATACCCCACTTCCTACAGTCCGCTCCACTGTGCAGCTTTCATTATGGACTCTTGTCATGACAATAATACCTAATCATATATCCCTTTTAAATAGTTCTCTCCCTCATCTGTTTCAATGCAGTATGCATTATTTATCCCCTCTTTTCTTAGTTCCCCCCCAATGTCAGTCCCGCTTTACATCAGTGGCATTATGTAATATTTGTTCTTTTGTGACAGTATTTAAGCACTCAGTCACAAATTTAAAGTTGACAGTTCAACCTTCCCAGCTCCTGTACAAAGATGTGGTAGCATACCTTCATATAGCTAGATTATAGCCCTAGTAATGCCAACAGACAGCTATGTCTGTCATGTACAGTTGCTGTGAGGTGACATTTACTTAGAGATAGTGTATTTTCTATTTTGGTGGTTCAGTGTTAGAATTCTTGCATTTCATTTGGGAGATCTAGGTTTGATTTTCAGCTGGTATATATCAGGTGTAGCTACCACTTGTCTTTCAGTCATGGCTTACATGCTGTGGAGTAGTTGAACAGGTTTCACGTGAGCTTCCAGACAAAGAATAGGAAGAAAGGCCCCTAATCTACTTCCAAAACTCAACCAGTGATCATGCTGTGGATTACAGCTGTCTGAGTTACAACTGATTATCAGGATGGTGTGGAGCTGGGGAGGGATATGGTGCCCACCTTAGTCGTAGTGTTAAGCTGTAGGCATGAAGAGGAAATAAATGGTGGTAGGTATATTTTAGGAGTTACTGCCTGCTGAGAGGAGATAGGACCTCACACATTGCTCTGGAATGAGATATGCGTGTTTGAAAGAGTTGAAGCCAGAGTGGGATGGCAAGAGGCAGAAACAACAGAGGATGTACAAATATAAAAAGCTGAATTAGGATATGTTGCATATCCCATGAAAGAATGTTTTAAGGTAGCAGAAGTCAACATTGTAGCATAGAGTATAAGGGAGAGAGAAAATCAAAACAAAAACACCAGATACTGCTTGTAAGTCTTCAGAGGAGGGCAATGTCCCTGACATGTTGCACAGTCTACTCTCAGGGCCCCTCTGAGGAGTTAGCAAAAGGATGAGGAGAGGTTAAGGGCTATTATCATCTAAGTTTTACTTTTTAGGAAAAGGAAAGCAAATATGTTTTCAATGAGAAATATTTGGCTGTAGGGTTTCTTAAAGAGATCACCCTATTTCTATTGGAAATTTTCATCCCGTTATTTTTTTTTCCATTCATGGACATTTTGTTTTATAACAATCACTCCTTATATTTTTAGATTTTCTGAGAGTGCTCCCTGTAGTGAAGTCCTTTATGATGTTTATTAATTTTAGAAATTAATTTTACCTATGTGAGGCTCAATGTCAAGAAGACAAAGGTTCTCACCACTGGATCAATTGGCAGCATCAGGATGGATGGTGAAGAGATTGAGATTGTACACAGCTTTAATTTGCGTGGCTCCACAGTCAACAGTCTTGGCACCAGTATCCAGGAAAGTAAAAGGCTCATTGCCATGGGAAAGTTGCTTGTTAGGGACCTCTCCAAAGTACTGAAGAGCAATGGTGTCTCCCTGGAGACTAAGGTGCGTTTGATACAGGACATGGTCTTCGCAATCACTTGTTATGCATCAGAGAGTTGGACAATGACCAAAGAGGATAGAAGGAGAATTGATGCCTTTGAGCTGTGGTGCTGGAGAAGAGTATTGAGAATACTATGGACTGCTAGGAAAACAAACAGATTTGCCATGGAAAGGGTTAAACTGGGTGGCTCCTTGGAGGCAAGGATTCTGAGGCTCCATCTGACATACTTTGGACATGTTGTGAGGAGAGACCAATCCTTGGAGAAGGACATCATGCTTGGGAGGGTGGAGGGACAGCGCAGGAGGGGAAGGCCCTCTATGTGGTGGATTGATTCAGTGACTAGGATAATCTGGATGGGAGTGTCAGAGACAGTGCGATTGGCACAGGACAGAGCAGAGTTTAGGGCTGTTGTACATATGGTCGCTATGAGTCGCAGGCGACTCGACCGCACATAACAACAACAACAACAACATATGTAACCTAGTGTTAATTAGGTTTAATTTTAATTTAGAAATATTTCTTGACTTAATTTGAGTTATCTAGAATTATTAGACATTAAGATTGGAAATTCCCAGATAATAACTGACATTTTAATTTTGCAAAAATATGATAGTTGTAATTTAAGGTGCTTATACTATATAGAAATAGGTTACAATAATTTGGCTGTATTTTACTTTTTATGGTGTTGATGTTAAAGTTTACTGTGTGTAAACATACTGGTTTTGAAAAAAATCTTTGTGAAGTTTTGGTGGACAGAGAGTTACAGGGACAAAATTAGAATGGTTTGGAGAAGATTGGGTACATTAAGTGAAAACTTAGTAGTGAATTCTACAATTTGAGTAATTATTTCTGACATTTGCATTTTAGGAAATAATTTAAATATGTCCCAATCAAAGAAAGAAGGATGGGAGTCATCAGAAGATCTGAGAAGACAGCTTGGACTTTTAAAATCAGAATGTTTACTGCAAAGTACCCTTACTGGCATTAAAATTAAAAAATATTCGAAGAAAATAGAGGACCTAATAAACACGGAGAAGGCCAAGGAAAGTAAGTAAGCATTTATTTTAATCTTGGAATGTTGTGGAAGCTTACATTTTTAGATAACTATTTGAAAGTATCATTGTGGTAGAGTTGTTTGTCCAGCATAATATTGAACATTACAGTATACGTAATAGTCTTAAAAAATGTTTCATTCAATTATTCATATACATTTTGTTTTATATAATTAATTGCAATTTATGAATGCAATTAATGACAGTGTTTCCTCAAACTCCTGTTGTAAATTACCTTCCTCATCAGCCAACCTATCTGCTTACTAATTTTTTGTCTTCTTTCCTTCCTTTTTTCATACTGCTAATCCTCCAATATGGATTCTGTGTGTGAACCTTTCCTAAACCCATTTTAAAAGTCAATCATTCATATTCTGTTCCATCTTGTTAATTATCATAAAGAAATGTGCAAAGAGCTGGAGTTAGAAAATGAAAAGTGCCAAACTCGCTAAATATTTCTTAAGCTGAAGGAATTGAAAAAACAATTCAAGCCATGAGTGGTAATATTTAAGGAATATTAAAAGATTCAAGAAGCATTAAAGGAAGATGGAAGGAGTATACAGAGTCACTGTACCAGAAGGAATTGGCTGACACAGAATAATTTAATGGAACAACATATGAACAAGAGCCTTTGGTGATGAAGGAAATTCAAGCTGCTCTGAAAAAATTGGCAAAAAACAAGCCTCCAGGAATTGATGGCATACCAGTCGACATATTTCAACAAACAGACGACATTGCCTTGGCCGTGCTCACCAAGTTGTACAAAAAAATCTGGAGGACAGCCACTTAGCCAACTGACTGGAAGAAATCTATGTTTGTTCCCATTCCAAAGAAAGGTGACCTGACAGAGTATGGTGATTATTGAACAATATCATTAACATCACATGTAAGAAAGATTCTGCTGAAATTATGCAAAAATGACTGGAGCAGCATGTCATCAGAGAACTGCCAGAAGTGCAGGCTGTGTTTAGAAGAGGCTTTGGTACTAGGGATATTACAGCTAGTGTGAAATGGCTGAAAATAGAGAGTACCATAGAAATGTCTGTGTTTCATTGACTATGCAAAGACATTTTACTGTGTGTATCACAACAAACTGTGACTGACTCTTAGAAGAATGGGAATCCCAGACCATTTGATTATGTTTTACATGATACCTATACATGAGGCAGGAGGCAGTTGTCAGAACAGAGCAAAGAGACACTGCATGGTTCAAAATCGGGAAGAGTGTACACTAGGGATGTATTCTGTCTTCATACCTTTTCAATCTATATGCAGAACAGATCATCCAGGAGGCTGTGTCATCAGGATTGGAGAAAGATTCGTCAACAACCTGTGTTATGCAGATGATACAACCCTGCTTGCTGAAACTGAGGAGGACCTGAAGCATTGCTGCAGAAGGTCAAGGATTGCAGCCTTCAATATGGATTGAAGCTCAGCGTCAAGAAAACAAAATTCTCACCATTGGTACTATTGGCAGCATCAGTATGGATGGTGAAGAGATTGAGATTGTTAACAGTTTTAGTTTGCTTGGCTCTACAGTCAACAGTCTTGGTACCAGCAGCCAGGAAATCAAGAGATGAATTGTATTGGGAAAGTTGGCTGTCAGGGACCTCTCCAGAATACTGAAGAATAATGATGTCAGTCTGGAGACTAAGGTTTGCTTGCTATGCATCAGAGAGCTGGATAATGACTAGAAATGATACAAAGAGAATTGATGCCTCTGAGCTGTGGTGCTGGAGAAGAGTGCTGAATATACAGTGGACTGCTAGGAGAACAAACAGGTTTGTCCTGAAGAAAATGAAACCAGGCTGCTCCTTGGTGGCAAGGATTCTAAATCTTTGTCTGACATACTTTGGTCATTTTACAAGGAGGTCCTTGGTGAGATACATCATGTTTGGGAGGGTGGAGGGATAGCACAGGAGAGGAAGACCCTTGATGAGACAGAGATAATAAGGTTGGCATAGGATAGCTCAACAGCACATAACAGCAACAACATTGTTAATTACAATACCCACAGTATCTGATTGTGCATTTCATCTTCCTTTGCCATATTCCAATAAAGTGTTCATTTCCTATCCATTAATTTTATACTTGCCCTCCCTTCCTCTCTAGGAAACTCTGGTGGTTTTGTTGTTGTTAGGTGCCATCAAGTCAAGTACAACGTATAAGACCCTATGAACAACAGATCTGAACCTTGTTCTACACTGTGCTATCCCCGCAGTCTCCGACACCCTCAAGCTCTTTGCCACAGTCACTGTGTCAGTTCACCTGACACCTGGTCACGAGTCTTCCTCTTTCGCCAAGCCTCTACCTTCCTAAGCATGATAACCCTCTCCAAGAATAGCCACACCTAGCAACATGCCTGAAGTAGGAAAGGAAAAGCTTCATCATTTTTGCCTCCAAGGAACACTCTGCATCTTCTTGAACACATTTCTATTTGTTTTTTTGCCACTCCATGGGATATTCTATACTCTTTCCTCAACACCACAGTTCAAAGGCATAAATTATTCTTCTGTCATCCTTATTCACTGTCCAGCTCTCAGCAGTATAGCAAGTGATTGAAAAGTCTATGGCTTGAATAAGTTAGTCCTCAAACTAACATTGCTTCC